CATGTTTGGGTAGCGATCCAAATGCAATTGGTAGCAACTGTTCCATAAAAATGTGACAATCATGACTTTTCATACCATGTAATTTTCCAGTGTTAGGGTCAGCACACCTTGCTAAATTTGATGAATACCCATCGGGCATTCTCAATTCTTTTAACCATCGACAAACCGCTTTAGCTTCTTGGGAAGTCAGACTGAAACAAGCCTTGGGTTTTAATAATTTTCCATTCGGTTGAGGCTTCAACTCCAACTCTCTTCGATTACACCAAATTCCCATGTCTTGTCTGGCCTTCTCATTATCTTTTGTTTTTCCTGTCACATCCATCACTGTGTTAAATACATTATCAAAAAAATTCTTCTCAATATGCATAACATCAAGATTATGGCGCAACAAATTATCTTTCCAATACGGAAGATCCCAAAATATACTTCTTTTTGTCCAATTGTGGGTGACGTCGTATCCTTCAATTCGGCATGCTTTCCCAGTATCTGTAAATTTTGGTAGTTCACATACTTGGTTCCATATAACCCCTGGTGGCAATCGAGGCGGAGGCAAATCTTTCTCTCGTACATCTTTTTTAAAATTTGTCTTGTTTCTTCTATATGGATGATTTTCTGGTAGGAATCTGCGGTGACAGTCAAACCATGAGCTTTTCCCACCTTTATCCAACGTAAATGCTTTGGTGTATCCCATGCAATGCGGACAACCCATTTTTCCATGCGTACCCCAACCAGACAACATGCCATATGCTGGAAAGTCATTAACGGTCCACATCAAGGCAGCTCGTAATGTGAAGTTTTGTTTACGGGATATATCATAAGTCCATTCTCCAATCCACATCTTCTTCAAATCATCAATTAAAGGTTGTAAGTACACATCAATTCCGGCTTTTGGACTGTGCGGGCCTGGAATAACACACGTCAAAAACATGTATGGTTTTGTCATGCACATCTCAGGAGGGAGGTTGTAAGGTGTTACAATAACTGGCCAACAAGAATACGCACTTCCTGACGCTTGCATGTATGGGGCAAATCCATCAGAGCATAATCCAAGCCTGACATTTCTAGGTTCTGCAGCAAAATCTGGATGTGTCCGATCAAAGTGCTTCCATGCCTCACCATCAGATGGATGTCGCATAGTGCCAGAACTTGTTTGGTTTGTATGATGCCATGTCATTTGACTTGCACTGTGCATTGAAGCAAACATTCTTTTTAACCTTGGTATTATAGGAAGATAAAACATGGATTTTACTGCTATACGCTTTTGCTTGCTGTTAACGGCTCTACTGCGAACTTGATATCTTGGACTATTACAAAACTTACACTCCTCTAACGATCCATCTTGAGTACCAAACTCATTGTCATAAAACAACATGCAACCGTTAATGCAACAGTCAATCTTTCTTACTTTTAAACCCAACTTCGACACCCACTTCTTTGCATCATAATAACTTGTAGGCAAATTGTCTTTCGTAGCGGTGGAGTCCAACATCATTTTTGCAAAATGTTCCAGACATTGATCAGAAACATTCCAATTTGACTTGGCGGCCAATAATCTCACACACATTAATAGCTTCGAGTCTGACGACCCCTCAAACAACGGTGTATTCATCTCGTTCAATAATTGATAAAATCTTTGCGCTTCCTCATTCGGCAACTCTTCCCCGTCAAAATCTTCAGGTTCATCATATGTCACGTTCACACCAAAAGCATCCTCAACCATGTCACCGATCAAATTAAAGTTCTCCTCATACTCCATAGCCGGTCGACTACTTGAAGCATGTGTGTTGCTAGTCTCTGGTACATTAACCGGTAGTTCTTCACCATTATACGTCCAAACCCAATAATTTTCAATGAATCCCCTTCTATGCAGATGACGTGTTACTTCCTCTGGGTCACTAATTATTGGTCTACATTCACATTTAAGACAGGGACACCTAACCCCTCCTTCGCTTCGACAACAATCCTGAGCAAACGCCCACTTAATAAACCCATCAACTCCTACTATAAAATTGGGTTTAAGTCCACTTCTTCCTGGATATGTTCTATCGTACATCCAACTGCGATAATACCGATAATATTCCATACTGCACATTTATACAATCATTGTCTTTTTCATTAGAAATATTAATCTACTTAATAATATTATTCTTAAACTATTTAATACTATTCTTAAAAATATAAATTTTGCTTTTTTATATATATACTAACATATAAATAAATATTCAAATGTAAAATATATAATTTTTTATTACATAACAATAATATCAAAAAACAATAATATAACATATTTACTTTTTATTATATATACAACAATAATATTAGAAAACAAATAATGTAACATATATACTTTTTATTATATATATAACAATAATATTAAAATAATAATATAATATATATATTCTTTTTTTAATTCTGTTTTTTATAAATTCTTATTTTAATATATAATTTTTTTTTCATATCTTTAACATATAAATAAAAAAATAAAACTATTATAATAAATATAATATACATCTATATATATATATATATATATATATATATATATATATATATATATATATATCTATATATATATATATATATATATATATATATATATATATATATATATATATATATATATATATATATATATATATATATATATATATATATATATATATATATATATATATATATATATATATATACATCTATAAAAAAAAAAACTTTTAATTTTATGTTTTCTAAATTTTTTTATTATCAGTACATATATACTACTAACAAAATACATATACTTCCTAACCACAAAATACATATACCACTAATCTATATAATACATATAAAATCTATAAAAAAATGCATAAATACCTCTATATAATTTCTTCAATAAATTTACGTCTTCTTGGATAGTTCTTGGTGTTCTTCTTCAAATTTCTCTACAAATAATAATGAACAAACGAACAAATACCCTTTTTAATATTTCTTTCCAGTATAATAAATAATGAACAAACGAAATAAACATTTATCAAAATATGAATACCTTACTTTTCTTCAACAATTTGGGATGGAGGAAATTTGATTCGGGAATTTGGGTTTGAGAGGAAGAAGTATGGGTTTGTGAGGAAGAAGAAAGGAAGAGGAAGGAAGAAGAAAGCAACACTTCTGTAAAAAATGAAAATTTTGGAGATGTAACGTCTAGTAGCGACGTGACTGTCACGTCGCAACGTTGTCACGTGATAATCACGTCGCTACAAACTAAACAGAAAAATTATTCTCTCTCCCACTCTGCAACTCTGTCATCAGCCAAATTTATTTTCCCCCCTAAAATATAGCGACGTGGCTATCACGTCGCTACCAAAATTCAAATTTCCCCCTTTGCAACGTTCTCTGATTTGCATTATATGTCATTAAAATATATTAGCGACGTGGTTATCACGTCGCTACTACTCACGTGATAAGCACGTCGCTAATATATGTCGCTGGGGACATATATTCTTGTAGTGTATCAAATTGTCTATTTCTTTTGGGTTTCCAAAAAAGTTATCTATTTCTTTTAGATTCTTTAATAAAATTATGTATATTTAGTTATTTTTATTCTTTAGGGGTGAAGCTTAAGGTGAAAAAAGAAGTTGAAATTTTAAGATATGTCCTCGGTGTAATTTTTACTTTTCGACTTTGCTTCTCTGCTTCTCTGTTGTAAAGTTTAATATTTTAATAAATTAATACTATAATATTGTTTTGTGTCCCTGAATAAATTTTTATTTTTGTTATAAGCCATTTGTTTTTTCTTTAAAAAGTTCATTTTTTATATTTAAAAAAATTAAAAATATTTATAAACAATTAAAATTCCAAAAAAAGTTTACGCTATTTTTATAAATAAAAAATTAATTTCACATTTAATAACATTAATATATACTATTAAAAATTTAAATATAAAAGATCACAAATCTTACATCTCTCTTTATATCAATCTTTTTTTTTTTTTCCATTTGTTTAGAATATTGTTTTTTTATGGTTCAGTTAGATGTGCTTTACCTTTTTTTTATTTTATAATTCTTTAAAAAATATATTGAATGTTTATTATTTAATATAATATTCTTTTAATTTTATTTTATTTGTACATTTTTTTTTATATAATTTGAGAGGTTAATATGAGAGAGTATTTAACGTTGAATTAAGAATAATATATAAGTGAAAGAGACATCACATATTCATCTAAAATCTTGAAGTGATAAATGTGTGAATTTTCTCCCTTATAATATTTTTCTCACACTTAATTTTTAACGTTTTTTTCTCTCTATAATTTTTTTTCTCATCTTGATTCTACTCTAGATGGTAAAAAAATTGAATATGTAAGAGAGAAATTTAATTGAATCTTAAAACTGATACAAGTTTAAAAAATATAAATGCATGAAAATCAGTTCATAAAGAAATATAGTTTTAAACCGGATATGAACTAACTTGAAACCATTTGACATGGTAATATGGTTTTATGATAAAAATGGTTTGGTTATAAATCAAAACCAACAAAAATGGCAAATGGCATTGCAAAACTATTTATAAATATAAACTCTAATTAGGTTGCTAGTTCCATGTTGTCTCAACTCTGCATGGGATAACTTAAACTGAATGGTTAATATGACACTGGTCTTCCCCTTGACAAGGAGGATCAAGCAATAAAAATGACAGTAAAATTGGGGTAGTAAGATTAATTACTATTTTAGTGAGGTAAAAATTAGCAATGTATTTTTTTTCCTTGATGACTATTATGTCAAAGGAATTAGTAGTTTTCTATATATAGACAACTAGTAACCTGCAAGTTTTTACACCTAAATATATGCATCGACAAAAATGAATTGTTATTCCGAAAAAAGAGTCATTTTAGTTTAATTTCTAAATATATCTGTTTCTGTGATGATATATAAAGAATAGTTATATCAATTATTTTATTGAGACTGTTTGATTACTTTTTCATTGCAGGAAGGAAGAGGGTTCTTGTCATTTGATAGAGAACTATCATGGCAAAATTGTTTCATCTCTTCCTTCTGACTATATTTTTGGTAATCATACCAACATTAGTGCATGCTAATGCTGATGTCAAAGAGGAAGAATTAGGATTTTGGGAGATTGTATTTCCACCGGGTGGTGGTCATACATATTGGCAGATAAGAGGATCAAAGAATAAAAAGGCAAACAACAAAGTTGATACTGCAAATCCACCTGCAAATCCACCTGCAGTCTCCAGAAAAATGACTCCTAACCTTAGGAAGTGAGATTTGTACTTAAAATGTTTAATTTCATGGAAGAAATTTCAAGCCATGTTTATTTTCTGAAATTATTTTTTGTTTTATTTTAAAAAAATTGTTCTAATTGCAAAACTGCCTCCTTGGTTTCACTATATACCTACATAAACTTTGAAAACACGAAGCATAAACCAAAAATACAATTTTGCGATTTCATATGAAAAACAAAAATGCAAACAAAAAATATTTATCTCATACAAATCAAACACTTACATATTGTTTAATGGCGATAATATATTACATGTTTCTTGGTTTCTCTCGTAGAATTAGTTATAAGTGTGATATGTCATATTTTAATATTTATGGGTTTGATTAACAGCATCATAAATGACAATGAATTATTTATTTTTGGTTATTTAGTAATTGCATCTAATTTTTACAATTATTGTCTTAGTATAACGGTGAATTAATAAAATAGTTATGACAATGTATTTACTCATAACCCTTTCTTTTAATCTCATCATCCTAATGTCTTAGGTGAGTTTTGAAGTAAATAAAAAAGGTTTTATCAAAAAATTAATACACTATATCTTAGATTTATTATCTATTAAGTAGTTAAGCTATATCGAGTTTTGACAACTATGATTAATAATTAATTGCAACTTGAAACAAATTTACACATTTGTCAATATATAAAAGAATTATGAACAAACTTAAATGAATAATGCTAGATAAGAAATTGTATACATTAGATCAAAATAAATTACATGGCTAAACTAGTTCAAAATAAATTCATCTAAAGATATAATTAAAGGGAGTTTAGCTACTCTTAATTGAATTAATTGTAGATAAAGAATTCAAGAAGTAATACATAAATGAAATATGTAATATAAATTTTAATGGTGTAGAAGAATCGGTCTTCGTCACTAGAAACCTTTCAACTACCAATTCTTTATTAAAAAGATTTGATGATTAAAGCGAGATACGCGGTGGTGATTAACGATGTCTTCAATATTCAAACCAATGACGAAATCTTTATAATCAAAATTATGGAGAAGATCAAGGTTTTTCTGGAGTTTTTTGCAATCCGAGGAATATCAACGCTATAGATGATGGGTTCGGAGATTCTGGGTCGGACGAGGGAACAAAATTTTGGAGAGTTTAGAGGGTAATTAGGTTTTGTCTTGCATAGCAGACAAAGTGAACAAAAAGTTGGCGATTTTTTAGGATAATGATGATTTATTGCTAAAAGGCAAAAACCATCATTCTGAAGGCGATAAAGTGATACATGTACTTGATCTTTTGGAGGGTATTTAGGAGAATAGGTCTGCGAAGAGATTAGGTGGCAAAGGTGATCTTGAAACGTGTCCCGAAGGTATGATGGAAGGCAAGGGATTTTGCACTGTTAAGGATTCAACATTTAATGTGTTGGAAGTCGGACCTCTTTTAGTAGAGCAGAGGAATTTGATTTGGTGTGGGCCGGGTATGGTGGATGCTGCCTCTTCTGGCCCAATATCTTTTGACAAAGCTTGTATGAAAGTTATTAGGCCCAAATCCAAAATTGTGAAAATAAGGGAAGTTAAAGATTTGGGAGAGAGAATTGAAGCTCGTGCTTCTTACTTTGACTGCCTCTAGAGAAAAAAAAACATAATACTGTAGAAATGGCAAACAATCCTTCTTCATCCAGTATAGGAAATCAGGCTAACGAGCAGATGGAAAATAAATTTGGAGAGAGTGTGCAATTTTGAGGAGGTGAATTTTTATGATGTGAATCTTTTACGAAATCTGATCTTTTGCAATGCAATAAGAGGTTATGAGGAAACATGAAATCAGAGGTTGGAAGGATGGTCTGAGAATCTATTACAAAATTGGGGATTGTGAGCAAAGATAATCATGAGCACTCAGTGAAGATGATTGAGGAGATGGTGATAAGAGAAAAAGAGGCCAAAAAGCATATGGAGGCGAAAAAGAATGGTTTTACATGAATATTATTTCTCTAAATATTAGAAGGAGAGGAAGCAGATTAAAGAGGAAGATAAGCAATTATTTAATCCAGTCTTGTGACTTATGCTTTCTTCAAGAGGTTAAATTGAGTGTTTTTGACAACGATATTGCAATGTAGTTTAGGGGTAATAGTGATGTTGATTGGATGTTTAGTAGGGCTTTAGGGGCTTCAGGCGGAATAGTTATTTTACAGAGGAAAGATCTTTGTGTGGGGTCGAGCGATAGAAGAAATGATATGGATCCTTTTAATTGTTTCATTAAAGATATGAAGCTCATTGACATCCCTTCTATCGGTTTGAGGTTTACTTGGTATAATGGTGGAGGTATTGTTATGAGTCACCTCGACAGGTTCTTGATTTCTGAGAAGTTGGCGAGTGATTGGAATATATCGTGACAATGGATTGGGAAGAGAGACATATCTGACCATTGTCCAATATCGTTGAATTGTTGTAACAAAGATTTGGGTCTCAAATAGTTTAGATTCAACAACTATTGGATTAAACATGATAATTTTGCAAATCTTGTCAAGGAGGAGTGGGAGAAGTGTAGGGTGGTTGGTAGAGGGGATTTTATCTTGAGTTAATAGTTTAAAGCCCTTAAACTCAGGTTGAAATCTTGGAACAAAGAGGTCTTTGGTTGGTTAGACTTGAAAGTGGAGGAGAGTGTTTCAGATCTTAATTCTTTGGACAAGATGTTAGTTGATAATTTTGGTGGTGATAATCATGAATTAGTGGATGACAGGGCTAAGGCTTTGGATGACTTGTGGAATAATTTGGACATTAAGGATAGTTTCTTAAGACAAAAATCCAGGCAGACTTGGTTGAAAAAGGGTGATCGCAACACGAGATTCTTTCATAATGTGATGAAATCTAGAAATAGATGTGATTTCATTAGTTTGGTGGAGACTCTAGGTGGTATTGTGGAAGATGTAGAGGAAGTGAAGTGTGCGGTAAAGGATAATTTTGAAAGTTTCTTCAAGGAAATCAATCATTCTAGGCCGGTTCCAGAAGAGTTAGAGTTTAAACGTCTTAATGATTAAGATAGTTTAAGTTTGGAGGAGGCCTTTTCGGAAATAGAGATAAAGGAGGAAGTGTGGAGCTGTGATGGTAGCAAGAGTGTCGGGCCAGATGATTTCGCTTTTGAATTCCTTCAGAATAGTTGGGATTTGGCCAAAGGTGATGTGGTGAAATTCGTTAATGATTTCCATTCTAGGACCAAGTTAATTAAAGCTTGTACTACTTCTTTTCTTGTAATCATACCCAAAGTCAACAACCCTAAATTCTTCTTAAAATATAGACCTATCTGCTTAGTTGGTTGCATGTATAAGATCTTGTCAAAGTTTTTAGCTTCGAGATTAAAGCTTATTGTTGAAAAGTTGGTTGTTTTTAACCAATCAACTTTTATAGCAAGCATGACTATTATAGATGGTGTGCTTACGGTGAACAAAATTATTGACTTGGGTAAGAGAGAGAGAGAGAAGAAGTTGTTTAGCTCTGAAGGTGGACTTTGAAAAGGAGTACGATAGTGTAAGTTGGAATTACCTAAGATTAATCTTAGGTAAAATGGGGTTTGGTGTCAAGGGGATTAAGTGGATGTAGGCTTGCGTCTTTAGCAGTTCTATGTCGATGTTAGTGAACGGTGGAATCACTAAGGACTATATGGTAGAAATGGGCCTTAGATATGGAGATCCCTTATCTTATTTTCTTTGTATTCTGGATATTGAGGTGTTAAATTGGTTTCGTGAATAGAGTAGTAGAGATTGATGAGTGCTTTGGGTTTGTTATCAATGAGGAGATCAAAGTGGATATTCTTCAGTTCATCGACGACACTATTATTTTAGAAGATGGAGATAGCAATAATTTGTGTAGCTTGAAAGCCATTCTAAGAGGTTTTAAATTAATTTCGGGGTTGAGAGTTAATTTCCATAAAAGCAATATTTATGGAATTAACATGAGTGATTGGAGTTTGTCAAAATATTTCTTCTTTTTATCGTGTAGTATCAACCATTTTCCTTGCAAATTCTTAGGGGTGATGATAGGGAACAACCCTAGGAAACGTTTCATGTGGGCAGTTGTGATACGGTGGGAGAACTGACTTGGGTGTTTTGTGTTTTATATTCGCAAATGTTGCGGCTTAGCAAGAGTCTCCACTGACTTTTCTTTTATCCAAAAGGAAAGGTGAAAAAGCACAGGAAAGACCTTTAGAGATGTTTTCTTGAGTTCGGGGGGTAGATTATGAAAAGGGAAGGTATTAACACCCTTTTCATCCTTGGTTTTCCATGGGCTCTTAGTTGCTTTCTAGATCACTTGCTTTTGTTTGAATGTGTGCTTGTGATGTGAGTTTTAATAGTATTTTGAAAATGTGACTTTGTAATGATTCTCGTCTCTATAAGAATGAGTACAAAGTGTTGTTTTGAAAATAGTTCAAAGAGGTGTTTGTGGGACGTGTTTTTGAAAGTGATTTTTGAAAAGGGTTTTCTTTGTAATGATTCTCGTCTCTATAAGAACGCATACAAAGTGTTATCTTTTGAAAATGTTTCAAAGTGAGAGTGCTGGTGTATAGAATATTTTTGTTGTGAGCAAGAAAGCAACTAGGAGAAAATCTACCTACTCAAAAGGTCTTAGATGTTCTTTTCCTCCTCCTTTAGACGTTGTTATCTTACCATTGTTTTGGTAAGAAGCCCCATCGTTGGATGTGAAGGGACAGATGTTGGGACATTTATATAGTCATAGAAGGCAACCTATGGGACGTTTTAGCAATGTCATTTTAAGGGACTAGATCGTCTACCGAAGGCAACATCGAGGGTCATCGAGGGACTACGATCTTCTATCGAGGGTATTTGCTAAGACACCCATGTTCGAGGGACATGACTACTTTTCGATAGGCCACAAAGTGGGATTACCCTAAGGGTGCTAGTGTGCAAGTGTGTTTGATTGCATGCATTTTAGTCTTGATTTTTAGGTTGTCTATTTATTGTTTCATGTCTTTCCATACACACCCTAATTACTAGTATTTACAATCGAAAG